GTGCATTGTTATTATTCCTAAAGGTGGTGCCAGACACCAAATAAAAAAAACTAACATCACAGTTAAACCATCGTTCCGCTAATGATTTAAAATACAAAACAATTCATAAAGATATTTGATATATAGGTAAGCAATTAAAAATTAAATATAAATATTACCATCCAAATCTCTAACGGATCCACTAAATATGGAATTGTTGCAACATGTATATCTAATTAAATCACCATTGTCAAATTTAACAGCCAACTCATTCAGTGATTGAGGCAAAGCAGGTAGGGAAGATCTTCTAACAGAGCGCATGATACTTTCTGCGGTTGACCAGGGATAAAAACCAGCAGCAACTCAAATAGATAAACAATAGATATTAACAGAATTAAGTACCTAGGATACTAAAAAATATCTAGTATGTAGTGCAAGACATACTAGGGGTAGGGGGGGGGGTAAGACAGGGAAATTGCCTAACTTGGGAAAAAATATTATTATTTTGTAGTTCAATAAATATTACAAAATACATGCATCCTTGTACTGCATTTTAGTTGTCCACTGTCTGAGTGACATTATATTTAGTGCTTACAGCTAAGTGTCATTCGTCAATATTATTCTTTTAAATTTTTAACTACCTATGGATATTTGATCATTTTTAAATTTAAAAAAATGTGATGAAAATAATGCAKATATTTGAAAAGATAATTTGATTTTCTATTTTTTCCTATACTTATTAAAATTATTTATTATTTTATACATATAAATACAAATATAACTTTCATATTTATTATTTATATTCAAATGTGAAAATAACATTAAATCTTTATTATCTCACATTTAAGATTTCTTTTTTTTTGGAAATTGTATATAACATTGTAAAAATACCTGGTGCATTGACACTATTAAATTAATAAATAAAAAATACAAATTCTTAAATGTAAAATAATAAAGATTTAATGTTATTTTCACATAATATAAAATTAATTTTTTTTTTGATCCCCCCCCCTAAAATTTTACCTATGGGCAGCCAGATATTATCATGGATACAAGATACTTTATAAAAATAGAATCGTAAAGAAGTTGGGTTAGATTATGCAACAAAATACCTACACGTATATAAACCCTAATAAATATTAATTATTAATAAAATATGTCAAAATATGTGTTAATAATAGTATTCATAACAAAAAATATCAAAGTACCATATTATGCATTACCTTTGTGCTTCAACATCATAAATTAGCTTCAAAGAGATGTTTTCATCCTAGATCGTTCCTTTAACGCATCTCTGAATAAAACTATCAAATTAGAACCATCGTCTCTATTTGCGCTCTTGAATGTGGTTTTATCTCAGAAAATGAACCATCTACATTTTTTCTAGCAGTTCCGTTACAAAAGAAATCCTTAGATTTTGCACATTTGTAATAACTAAAAATGTTAAATTAATTAATATAAAAATAGTGATTGGTTAGGAATGAATGCAGTTTAGCTCTCGAGTGTTTTTTGAAATTTTTTGTTTAAAAATATGTGTTTTTGCGTGCTTGGTATAAGTCGGTCAACTTCTTTTGAAAGTTATAGTCCATCAAAAATTACCTTTATCTTACTTACTTTGTACGCAATTTTTAATAAAATAATTTAAATAAACGAATGTTGGACGAGTTAAATTATTAGAAATATATATAATATTTATACATTTATATAAATTTAAATAAGGTACTACACGGAAAAAAATAATTTAATATTATTTAACAAAATAGTTTTGTAATATGATTTATAGTTAGACAGTTGAAGTAACACAAATATATTAGTCACAGACATAAATACTATAACCGTTATTGAAGTACATTGTAATAGCTACAACACTTTTTTTGTTAATTGATGTTTTAATCATATAACAAAATTATTAATAAGAATGGCAAATATATGGTTGTAGCTACTGAAAATATTCTTCAAAACTTAAACTATTTATCGCTACAAAACATTTGATTAGAATTACTTAACCATTTATGAATTGATACTGGCGTACTTTAAAAAACTCTAAAAACCACTTAACCCCTAGGCTGATGGTACACATGTTTTTGTTCCTGCGACAGTACGACAAGCTAAGCTGACAACACGTTTGGTGTTCTGTATGGTGCATTTCCGTAGTGCCTATTATATTATGCTCTGCATTACTCAATGCTGCGTTGTTGTTTACCACGAAGTTCAAAGTGTCATATTATTTTAAACTGTGCCTTTCAAGTCTTGAACTGTTTTTAAAAGTGTTTAATTTACTATTATATTATGCTCTGCTTTGCTCAATGCAGCGTTGTTGTTTACCACGAGGTTCAAAGTGTCTTATTATTTTAAACTGTGCGTTTGAAGTCTTAAACTGTTTTTAAAAGTGTTTAATTTATTGTGCAAAATGGCCGATCAAGATATTACAGATATGCTAACGGTTTGGGATTTAGAAACCTATGTAAACATATTTAAAGGTAAGTCGTTAAAAAAATAATAATTTTGTTTAAAGCACGTGTTTTTTAATTTTAATACTAACTTAAATATTAAGTATGTAGATAGGACGTATACTTCCAAGTAAAATAATAAAATGATGTCCCTTGCCCTTTAAAATTAATTAAATTTGTTTGAAGAATTCAGAAGTTTTCTAAGATTCTAAGTTATAGGTATTAAGTATACGGTATACTGTATACCTAAGTGAATCTCAAATATTGTTTTCTAATTGTTCGAATAATTTTATTAAAATGTACCTATATAAAATATTATGTAGATAAGTATGTATCATTTTGATTAAAAAAGTACTATATTAAATACCTAGGTTTTTTTAAAGAATTTGATTAGGTATTTATTGAACCCATTGTTATTGGCTCATGTACTTTTGTTTTTTTTATAATAGAACATGGAATAGATATATCTTGCTTGACAATTATCACCGAAGAGATGATACAAGAAATAATACCAATGGTTGGCCATAGGGCAAAATTTAAAGTTAATCTAGAAGAATGGTGTAAAATGATTACCCAAGTTAATGACCAATCGTTTAATAATATGGTAAGGATGTTTTACCTATTTTAATAATTTTTCTTGTTTACTTAATTGATTAAAACTATAGGCGTGTTTTGACTCTTTTGAGCAACCGGGTTACCAGTATAGCTAAATAGGTAGGTATTAGTTTGTTTGCTCAAACTAGTAAACAATTTGCTCAAAACWGATGTATTAATAATAATTGTAACTATAAAACCATACTGTTCTAAAGGGTTCCTAATTTTTACCAGTTTATAAATAAATAAAACAAAATAAAGTTGATAGGTATGGATATGGTAACTATATCTGTGTTTCAAATCCATTTTGTTATTTGTTCTTCCTTGACAGAGAATTTACAATAGCAAAGATAGTGCCAATACTTAATATTAATAATTACACACTACATTCCTCAATTTAAAATATTTACTGTGCCTTCAGCTTTGTAGACTATAAATTTAATTTTGATTTTATATCTTTTATTGAAAATTTGTAAGGTAATATTAGCAATATTCGAGGCATTATTAATACTTATGCACTTGTCAATAAACATTTTATTTTTAATAAACACTCGCTAACTGCTTGTCCATTACTTATCCTGTTATACTCTCATCTAAAATATTTACTTTGCTTTATAGACCCTAAATTTAATTTTTTATATTTCAAATTTGATTTAAACATTTTTTATTGCCTCTTACTACCAAACACATTTAAGTTTTAGTTGTTTTAAATACACATCAGTTAAATTACATTTTGAGTAAAAAAARCATAATAGCTTGTATTTTTGTTTTCGGACAATACTGGACCTGGACCATAGAGTAATATAGAGAGGCCGTTGCATTTTATCATGAAGCGCAAGTAGGCCAGCCACTTTTAGAAGAAAAATATATTGTACTAATTTATTATTATTTATTGTACCTAATTAAAAATAATAATCTCTTTTCTATACTAGAATCTACTAATCTAGTACCCACCTACGACCTACTACCTACGTGCTACGTCCTAGTCGTCCTACAACTACCTAGCCATTAGGTACTTAAATGATTTATTTAATTTGGTGTTTCTATTAAAATAAATGAATTAATATAAATTACATATATTTTAAAAATCAATTTATTCCAATGAATATTATACATACAAATCATAAATTTATAAGTAGTATACAATAAACGCATTACATAATAATATAACCAAATAAACATATTTTAATATTTATATAGGTATAAGTAAATACTAAATAGTAATATACATAATAACAAATTATAATATTGTGCGTCAACTGTCAATATTGGACAGTTAATTTTATACGTGTCTAGATAGTAGATAATTAACAAAATTAATAATGTTAAATATGTTAACTAATATATAGGTAACAAATTTTCCTAACTAGAATCCAGAGAAATCAAAAAGGACGACAATTAGAGTTAAGAGATCACAATACACAATTTTTTCTTTAATTTATATAGATAGATATTAATATAACCTTAGATCATATAGGTACTATATATACTACTGTATATGATCTAAGAATATTATTGTACTATGCGATCTAGCGGACAAGGAGAGCGCAGTTGGACTCTCGATAAGGGTCAACAACCGAACATTTGGCTTCACTACTAGAACACGGGGAATATATGCAACGGCCTCTCTATATTACTCTATGTACTGGACTAAATAAAAAAATTAAAATTATATTAAAAAATAATCGATCATCTTGGCGTTGGCTACACTGAATACGCAGTTTGTCTTATAAACCAAAGTAAGCACCACAAAAATGCAAAATAAAAATAGAATAAAAATATCTCTTTTGTTTACATTTAGGTACCTACATGGCTACATACAAAATAATAATCCACCAATAAATTATCTTCCTAAATAACCTTTATTTTATGGTTCTATGGTTCTATGTATTATACACGATTATTATTACGAAGTTACTGTTWCTACTAAGTACTTATCATTTTTATTTTTATTTGGTGTTAATACTTTAATACTTGACTTATAGGTTATTTTAATAATACTTACAATGTCAAAATATCTCAGTGGTTCAGCAAAAAGGAAAATGAAAATAAAAAAAGATGAAGAAATAAAGAAGTTGAGAGGTTCATTAAATATATTTCTAGTAAAAAACAATTTGGATAATGCTGGTAAGTGGTAAATATATATTATTAAATACTGAGTGGTTGTTAAAATTCCTAAAGTTAAGATTTTCTTAAAACTGGTTTACTATTTACACATTTACCTAGTTATAACATTACATTCTTCACACAACTGTAAATAATATGATGCGAATATGTGATATTTTTTTAAATATTTTAGTTGACAAGTGTGCTAAAAATGTAATTATTAAAACAAATGAAAATACTGATGTGCAATCGTCTGGGACTTGTGATGATACTGAACCAGACATATTTGATAAACCAGGTAGGAACCTAAATTAAACTTTTCAAAATTAAAATGTAAAAATGTAAACTATACAAAAAACTATGAGGATAAGCACATCATATTTAATATAGGTAGAATAATTTATAATTATGTTGATATTTATTAATTAGTGATTTACGTTACTAGGTAGTTTTAGCATACTTTTTTTGAATATAATTTGCAATTTCTATTTGTTGTTTAATTTATTATATTGATATACCTATGTAGGTGCCTAAACTACTAATTAGATGTTCACTTGTTCATAATATTATTATTATAAATTGTTATGAAAATGTTAATTTATTGTATTYTATAAAGTGATTTTTTTGCTTTTAGTTGATAACTCTTCCACCAACTTAATTAGTAAAACAAATGAAAATACTGATTTGGAATCGTCTGAGACTTGAGATGATACTGAGTCAGGCATATTTGATAAACCAGGTACCTACCCAAATTAATTKTTTTATAATTTGAATTATTAAAATGTAAAAATGTAAGCTATACTAAACACATGTAAGAAGATAAGCTTTGTTGTTTAATTTATTATATCATACCAATGTTGCACTTATATAATAATTGTTTATAATATTATACATTTTAATGAACATTTGATTTGTACCTATTTCATTAAGTATTTTTTTTTCTTTTAGTTGATAACTGTTCTACCAACTTAATTAGTCAAATAATGAATGAAAATAATGAAGTGGAATCGTCTGAGACTTGTGATGATACTGAGTCAGGCATATTTGATAAACCAGGTAAAATATATTTCTCGAAATATAGTTTTCTTAAAACTTAAACTAAATTGAATAAATTAATAATCATAATAATTACATTTATTTCAAGTGATATTAAATTTTAAAAAGATATTTTAGATATTCATGTAGCTTTTAAACAGTTCAACAATTTTGATATTCATTTCCTACCTTATAATATGTGTAGTAAATTTTGTTTTATTTATAGGTTTAGATTTAACAAATGATTATCCAACTGACCGTGGACATTTTAAAGAGTATGATACAGTAAAATCTGATTTGAAGAGAAGTATTTAATTGCATGGACCGTGTAAACCAACCAACATAGAATTTCCCTACAGCCCTGATGGAAAAGGCATCCTTAGACGTTTTTCAGCACAGTTTTATCACAAAACTACAAATACAGGACTATGTATACCCAGAATATGGTTATGCTATTCAGTCATTTTAGATTGTGCATACTGTGAAGTATGTTGGCTTTTCGCTGATAAGCAAAATAGAAATTTTAAAATAAATTGGATATTAGGAATTAATGATTGGCACCATATTGGAGAAAAAATTGGAACACATGAAATTTCTCAACAGCATATTCAAGCCACTGAAGTCCGAGTACGTTGGTTAAAAAATGAAACTATAGACAAACATATGGAAGATGAAATTATTAAAGAAGCTAGTTTTTGGAGAAGKGTTTTAATTAGATTAGTCAAAATCATTTTATTTTTAACTGCAGGGAATACTGCTCTCCGAGGAAATGAAAACAGTAAAACTAAAATAAATAGTACAGAAGGAAACTTTATCAGGACTGTAAGGCTAATGGCAGATTTTGATCCTGTTTTAAATAATCTGTTGAACAATGAAAATAATAAAATAAAATACCTGAGTTGGAAAATTCAAAATGAATTAATTCATTTATTATCCTCAGAAGTATTAAATATATTAGCAAGTGAAGTAAAACGATCTAAATATTATTCTATAATAGTAGATTCGACACAAGATATAACAAAAATTGGTCAATTGAGTGTTATACTGCGTTATGTTGTTTTAAACTACGAAACAAAATCATTTGAAGTAAAAKAATCTTTTTTTGGGTTTTTTGAATTAAAGAACCATGGCTCAAACGATTATGAAAATCTTATTTATGATGTGTTGCAAAAATACAATTTAGACATCCAAAATTGTCGAGGCCAGGGTTACGATGGTGCAGCAGTAATGAGTGGAGCTTATTCAGGATTGCAACAAAAAATATCTTCTACAGTGACGAATGCACATTATGTACACTGCTGCTCACATAACCTTAACTTAGTGATTTGTGATGCAGCAAAATCAACACAAGTTGCAACGAACTTTTTTACAACATTACAAACTATATTCAATTTTTTTAGTTCTAGTTGTCCTAGATGGGCATCACTTGCATTTGGTGATGACACTGCCAAAACAATTAGACTTAAAGTATTAAAAATAGTTTGTCCTACTCGCTGGGAGTCTCGGCACTCATCAGTATCTGCATTAAAACAAAGGTATATAGGAGTTATAAAATCATTAACATACATGAGTTTATCAAGTAATAAAGTAGATGAAAAACATGGCAATTTCAATTTAAAAAAAATAGAATATTTTGAATTTTTACTTATGTTATGTTTATGGGAACGAGTATTGCGTCCTTTGCATGGTATCTCTAAACTTTTGCAGAAGCAAGACATTGACCTCCAGAGAGCATTAGATAGATTGACTGATGCCTATACTTGTATGCAGCAACTAAGGAATGACTATTGTAGTGTAGTTGAAGATGCAAGCAACATGGCAATTAAATGGGGTATTCCAACTGATGACAAAGTGGCTTGCCAAAAACCAGCAAGATTGTTTTTTGATGAAATAGATGGCGACCGACGGATGAATATCACACAAGATAATTTTAAAATAAAAGTATTTTTACCAATTGTTGACACAATAATATGTCAACTTAAAGATCGCTTTAAAGGTTTACATAACGTTTGTAGCATTTTCAATTTTTTGAAACCTCAAACACTTTTAGGACCAGATGAAATTACTATAAAAGGATCATATGACTTTATACAAATGTAKCAATCAGATATTAGTTCTGATTTAACGAGTCAACTGCTATCAATCAAAGAAATTATAAAAAATAAAAATTTGAATAGTATCCAAGCACTGGCCTCGTTTATTCTCGAAAACGACTTTGCTACGAGTTACTCTGATATATTAGGTGCATGTATAATTTATTTGACATTGCCAGTAACGGAGGCAACTGCAGAAAGGTCTYTTTCAAAACTTAAGATAATAAAAAGCTATCTAAGGAATTCAATTGGACAAGAACGACTGTCCAATATTTCAGTTTTAAATATCGAACAGCGTCGTACAAAAGAAATTGATATGGACAAAATATTAACAAATTTTTCAAATATGAAAGCAAGAAAAATGAAATTTGATTAAGTATAAATTAATGTATTGTTAAGCTTATTAAAATTATTTAAATATATAATATAAATTATATAAATACAGATGTTATTATTTATTTCCACTGAAACATAGAATACAACAGTTATACAAAATAATAATCATTTATGATACTTTTTAATTTTATCAAAAAAAAAATGTCTAGCAACATTTTATATTATTATGTACCCCCAATAGTTATAGGGCCCAAAGTTAAATTTTGCCCTGGGGCCCTAAATAATTAAGTTGCGGCACTGCCTATGACAACAGCTTCTGTGGAGAAAAGCTTTTCTAAATTAACCTTAGTAACACAAAAACATTTTAACAACTTTAACATGTCTTGTATAATAGTAAATTTAGAAACACATTTTTTTTTTTTTTAATTTTAGGTAAAAAGCAAATTAAGAACAACAATGACACAGGAAAGACTTGAATCCAAGACTTTGTGGACAAGTTTGCTGAAAAAGATAGGCGTATGAAATTCTGTGTTATTATTGTTTTCATTTACCAAAATTAATTATTAATTACTACTTATA